CATCTCCTGTCATTCTTCCAAGGCGCACACGGTCCCTCGCCAGCAGCCCAAGGAGACAGTTGGGTGTTAGGGGCCAAGTGGCCAAGGGGATGCTGCCTTGTGGGCCAAGCCCGCCCGCTCAGGGCCAAGACGACGCTGGCTCCAAATCAGATGGCTTGTATTTAAGGAAGTTGTTCCCTTGAAGATTTCTTCTTTCCTTCCTTCTCTTCCTTTCCTTCCTTCCTTCCCTTTTTTTTTTTTTTTTTTTTTTTTCCATTCTCTGGTTCCTAGAAGCTCAGTGTGGCCCAGTGGCTCAAGCCTGGCCTGTGGGCCTCCCTCTCCTGCCCGATGGGTGAGGTCTGGGCCCCCTGGGCTCTGGGAGGCCTGGCCACGCCACTCAGCTCTCCCTCTGCCAGGCTCCGCACCTTGGGGTTCTGTTTGTCACCAAGCCTCCAGAGTGAGCGCTAGCAGCTGGGTGTTTGCTAATGCTCCAGGCACTGTACTGCCTCCCGTACTAACATTAACCCACTCAACCTTCACAGCAGTCCTCGGGGGTAGGGCTGTTGTTAGCATCATCCGGACAATGAATTGGGAGAACTGGGACATGAAGGAGGGCCCCTGGAGATGTCAAACCCAGGCAGACTGGTTTCCAAGACGAAGCTTCGAGCCCCTCCCGTGGGCGTTCGCTCCCTCCGCACGGGCACACGTGTCCGTTCACCGGGTGCCCGCCGCACGCCAGCCACGTGCTCAGGAGCCCTGCTGGCGGGAGTCCGCCCGCCGTGGCCCGAGGGCACAGATCTTGCTCTGCTGGGGTCTTCTTCTTCCGCTTTGTAGAGGGGGACGGCATGGGCTCTGTCTTCATCCCCGTTCAGAGAAACATCGCCCAAGGTGGTCTTCCGTGGAAGTCCGAGGAACTCGGCGGTGAAGCGCCGAAACCACGCACGTCAGACTAGCTTCAGTCTGAAGTCGTGTCTAACCTCCCACAGGCTGGCGGGTCTCGGTGACTGAGTCAGGGAAGCCTGGCCTGGAAGGGCTGAGGGAGGAGCAAGTGGCGAACCGAGAAATACTGAAAGGGACGAACCAAAGGCTCTTCTGGCCTCTGCCCCCAGGAGCCCATGGAACTCCCTGTGTTTCTGTTTCAATCCTCCCCGACCCCCCTCTCTTAACACACAAACGCCTTCTTCCTCGAGGCCTCCCTCTCTCTGTGGCCACTTCCTCCAGTGTGCCCTGGCAGAGGGAATTCCCGGTAAGGAAACAGTAAGCCAGACAGTCATCACATTCTTTTTAACTTGCAAACAAGAATGTTGCCTTGTAGTTACATTTGTCCTCGTGTTTTTAAATACATTTTTATTGATTTCAAAGAGGAAGAGAGAGGGAGAGATAGAAGCATCCAGGATGAGAGAGAATCGTGGATCGGCTGCCTCCTGCATGCCCTACACTGGGGATGGAGCCCAGAACCCGGGCCTGTGCCCTGACCGGGAATGGAACTGTGACCTCCTGGTTCATAGGCTGATGCTCAACCCTGAGCCACACCAGCTGGGCTGTCCTGGTTTTTAAATGTAGACATTCAGATCCATGTTATTTTAGATTTTTCACCAGGAAGTTTCTTCCCTAAAGCACAAAGCCTGTTCCCTCCTTCCTTCCTTCCTTCCTTCCTTCCTTCCTTCCTTCCTTCCTTCCTTCAAGGGAAATGATGGAGGTAAGGGGTGGGGAAGGGTGCCCAGGTCCCAGGCACCAGCCTAACCCACCACGGCATACTGGGTCAGTGGAGGAGCCAGGCAGACACAGGATAACTATGTCAGTTAAGTAACAGACGATGCTCGGAAGGCTGAGAGCCGAGAGGAGAAAGAGCTGGATGTGTTTCGTGAAAGCCGTCACCTCCCCACCAAGTGTGACCTGGACATGGGAGCGGGTGGTTGTACAGTGAGGGGGAGACGTTGGCAGTTTTTCCTTCCAGAACAATCCTGTCATGACCCTCAAGTGAGTAAGAAATGGAGCGCACACACGCACAGACGCTATTTGATGTGGATGGCCACAGAGACCAAAAACGTGGCCTCTTGCTGGCGTTCGTTGTCCACGTCTCGGTGCAGACTCTCGGGAAGCGCTGACGGTCAGACGGTTGCCACACACACTGGCCTCCTTTTCAGAGAGAGAACGTGTGCGTTCCGCTCAGCCAGTCCGGAGCTTCCGTGGGGAGGCGGCCGAGTGGACGGCAGGGTGGGGGAAAGCTAAGCGCCCGTCTGGGCTGAGGGCAGCCGCCGGCCAAAACCTCCCTCCGCTAAGCAATCCGGAGGAAGCTTTTCCCGGTCGGGTGGAAGGCGTGTGGGAGGCACAGGATGTTCGAAGGGGGCCTTTATTAAGCTTTTATGAGCTCTGCTGTGACTGTGCATTGTTGGTTTTTGGTGTGTTTTTTTCTAAGCAAGCAGCTTGTGAGGGGCTGGGGCAGACAGCGGGAGAGGGTTAGTGGCTGGGTTCCAGCCGCTAGGTTTTTCTGGTTCTTCCTGGTAAATACTGCCCTGAGAGGCAGGTACACACCTCAGGAGGTGCTTTCCGGCGCGCCATGACGTATGGATGGGCAGAGGGTTTGGGAGCGGGTCCCGGGCTGGCACCAGGGGCCTCCGCGCCCCAGTGGCCAGGCCGCTCTCCAAGGTGCGTCCTCAGGTCTGCACTGTCCGGGCGGCACCTGGGAGCTGTTTTCCCAGGTCGGTGGAGAGGCTGTTTGGCTTGGGGGTGGTTTTGTTTTGGGGTGAGTGTGTGTGTGTGTGTTTTGGTTCTGCCGCGCTCCACCCCCGCCCTCTGGCTTTTTCCAGTGGAGGCCTGCCCCGCGGGGTTTTCTGTCCCTGGAGCACACAGCTATTTTCTTTTCTGAAAATAAGTTGACGTCAGCGGGGCTGTTTTTGGTCGCTTTGTTTCCCGGAGCGTCCAACCGGCACATCGCCCCGGGAAATGCTCGCAATTCAAAGCAGCTTGCGGGCCCGGGAGGAGAGCTGGGGCGGGGACCCCGCTGCCCGGCGCAGAGTGGGGAGCGCCCTGCTCCCCGCTGGAGCCAGGGCAGGAGTCCGGAGGCGGCGCCCGGAGCCCGCTGGGTCCGGATCCTGCTGGGTCCGACTTCCCCGCCGGGCGTCCGGGACCGAGGGCCACCCTCCCGGGCCGAGCCTGGAGGGGGCGAGCGCCTGTGCCTCCCATGGGCAGCTGGGCCCCGGGCTCCGGACACACAGACACACACACACACACACACACACACACACACACACGCACACATACATGCGTGCACACACGCCTTTTACTGATCTGGGGCCACACTGGGGCAGTTTGAACAAAGCCGGTTGCCCCCCAGAGGGTCCCCTCGGAGGAAGGTTTTCCATGGGGAGCAGGGCGGATGGGGGAGAGAGAGAGAGAGAGAGAGAGAGAGAGAGAGAGAGAGAGAGAGAGACACTCTCCCGGGAGGAGCGGCGGGACCTGCTCGGACTTGCTGGCACCTGGCGCTATTCCCCGATGCTCCCCTGGCCCCAGGCCCACAGCCCGGAGCACAGGGCTGGTCCCTGGAGAAGACACCATCCCACCCTCCTCCCCCATCTCACCTTCCACTCCCATTCCATCCTCCTCTCCATCTCACCCCCTCCCTCCTCCCCCATCTCACCCTCCACCCCCACCCTCCTCTCCCATCTCACCCTCCACCCCCAGCCTCCTCTCCCATGCCATCCTCCATCCGTCCCACCTCCACGCTCCCGGCCCAGAGACCTAGATCTTCCTTCCTTCTCCTTTTCCTTTTTTTAAAATAACTACAAACTGACGGATGCGTTTCTGTTGATGAGGATCATGATTAATTGCCCAGAAAGGGGAGGGGGATGGACCGGACCCCGCGGCTGAACCGCACGGAAGTGGGCCCGGGAGGCAGAGCGGAGCCGGCGGCCCCGGGAGGACCGGCCCGGCCTGGGGCCTCGTCCCGGGGCTTCGGGGCCCTGGGCGCCGAGCCCGCTCCCGGGGCCGGGCTGCGGGGGAGGAGGAGGAGGAGGAGGAGGAAGGACGCGGCTCCGGGGCAGCCGGGCCGAGCGCGAGGGCAGCGGGGCTCCGGGCGCTGCGGGGCGCGGAGGGGCCGGGGCCGGGCGCTCGGCTGCAAGGGGGGCAGCGGCTCCCGGGAGCGCCCGGCCCCGGCCCCTCCAGCTCCGCCGGCGCCGCCCCCCGCGCCCCGGGCAGCGGCACCAGGGCGGCTGGCACACCGGGGTGGGGGGGAGGCCCCGGACCCGAAGGCCGGAGCGGGGGCGGCGGGACCCGAGTTCACCCGTTTGTCCCCCCGCCCGCCCGTCAGTCCGCCCATCGGCCCGTCAGTCCGTCCATCCGCCGCCTTCGGGCCGGGCCGGCCGGGCCCCCAGTCCCGCTCCCCGCCGGGCGGGGGCGGCGGGCGCGGTGTCCGTTCGCCCGGGCCCTGGGGGGGGGGGGGGGTCCCGGGGTCCGGGCGCCGCTCCCGCACCTCCCCTCCGCCCTCGCCCTCCCCCCGCCGGACCCGCGCCGACCTGCCCGCCCCGCGGGCGCGCCCCGGGCGGTGACAGCGGGGCGGTGGGAGCGCCCGCCCGCCCGCTCGCTCCCAGCCTCGCCCGGCGCCTGCCGCGGGCACAGGGTGCGGGCCGCCGCCCCCGCCCCCGCGCCCCGCCCGCCGCTCCGCGCCCGCCGCTCCGGGCCGCCCAGCCCGGCCTCCGCGCCGGCCTCTCCGCGGCGCAGCGCCTCCCGCACCCGCTCCGGGGCCATGCGGGGGCGGCGGAGGGGGCGCCGCGCCTCGGGCATCACTTAGACCGGCCGCCGCCCGCCGCCCGCCCGGCCCGCGCCGCCGCCGGAGGTAAGTGCGGAGCGCGGCCCCCGCCGCCTCCCGCCCCTCACCCCTTCCCCCAGCGCCCAGCGCCCAGCGCCCAGCGCCAAGTTCTCCGGGAGCGGGGGTGGGCGGGGGAGAGGGTCTGGCAGCCCCGCCGCCGGGCCCCGCGCCGCCAACTTCCCGCCCCCCGGCCCGCGCCGCCCCCCGCGCGCGGCGCCGCCGTGGCGCGGCCCCTTTAAGAGCCGGCGGGCCTCCGGTAGCTGAAGGTCATTACACACAAAAGCGCTCCGCCGCGGTCCAATATAGCGCATGCGCCCTGCCCGGGGACTGGCGGGGAGACGGCAACATGGCGAGGGTGCCTGGCCGCGGGGACTGGGGCGCCGCCGCGGCCGCCGCCGAGGACAATGGGGAGCGGGCCGAGCGCGAGCGCCGCGCGCGGGGCCGGGGGCGCCGCCGGGGCCGCCCGCACGACTGCAGCGCGGGCGAGGAGGAGGAGGAGGAGGAGGAGGAGGAGGAGGAGGAGGAGGAGGACGCGATCCAGGAGGTGCAGATAACGGGGGACGAGGAGGAGGAGGAGGAGGACGGAGGCGGGGGGCTGGACGAGGACGAGGACGAGGACGAGGACGAGGAGGACGACGAGGAGGAGGAGATGGGGCTGGACTGGGATGAGCGCCTGGAGCCCGAGGACTCGGCCGGGGAGGAGCTGGAGCCGGAGGAGCCGGAGCCGGTCCGCAGGATCGATATGGACCCGGGCGCCGCGCTGCTGGAGGAGCCCGAGGCGCCGCCGCCGCCGCCGCCGCCGCGGCTGCTGCCCCCGGCGCCCCGCGCGCCCCCCGGGGCCGCCCCCGAGCCCGACCCCCCCGACGGGCCGCCGCCGCCGCCGCCGCGCCCCGAGCGCGCCCGGCTGAGCGAGAACACGCGGCTGGCCACCCGCTACGCCGTGCGCATCTTCCGCGAGTACCTGAGCGAGAAGGCGCACAGCCCCGACTTCGAGAGCATGGACAAGGCGGCGCTGTGCCGCGCGCTGCGCTCCTTCTACGCCGAGGCGCGCTCCAAGAGCGGCCAGCTCTACAGCAAGTCCTCGCTCATCAGCATCCGCAGCTCGCTCAACCGCTACCTCAACGAGCCGCCGCACTGCCGCACGCTGGACCTCACCAAGGACCCCGAGCTGCGCGGCGCCAACCTGGCGCTGGCCGCCGTGCTGCGCCGGCTGGAGGCGCAGGGCGCGGGCCCGGTGGTGCAGAAGCAGGCCATCACGCGCGCCGACCTGCGCCGCCTCTACGCGTCCGCCGCGCTGGCCGCCGGCACGCCCTTCGGGCTGCTCAACAAGGTCTGGTTCGAGACCTGCATGTACTTCTGCACGCGCGGCCGCGAGAACCAGCGCGAGCTGCAGGAGGGCTCCTTCGGGCTGGCGGCCGACGAGGACGGGCGCCGCTTCGTGTACTTCCGCGCGCAGGGGCCCTACCACAAGTCGCGCTCGTCGTCCTGGGGCCGCAAGCGCGCCGAGGCGGGCGATGAGGACAGCCTGCCGCGCATGTACGAGACGGGCACGGAGCTGTGCCCCTACGCCAGCTTCGTCAAGTACCTGGCCAAGCGCAACCCGCTGTGCCGCGCCTTCTTCCAGCGGCCGCGCGACCACTGCGGCGAGGCGGACGCCACCTGGTACGAGAACAAGGCCATCGGCAAGAACCTGCTGGGCACGCGCATGCAGATGCTGTCCAAGGCGGCCAAGCTGTCCAAGACCTACACCAACCACTGCATCGGCGCCGTGTCCATCGCCACGCTCCACAGCATCGCGGGCATCGGCACCCGGCCGGGCGCGCCGGCCGCGGGGCACGGCTGCTGCGCCCCCCACGCCGCCGCCCACTGCGCCGCCGCCGCCGCCGAGGCGCTGAACGGGGCGGCCCGCCACCCCGCCCACCTCCACCTCCAGCACCCGCGCCCCCCGCCAGGGGACCCCTACGCGCTCCCCAAGGACGGCCTGGCCGCGCCCCCCGACGTGAAGCCCGAGGCGGCGGCGCCCAAGCGCGCGGCGCTGTACGAGGCGGCGGCGGCGGCGCCCGGGGACCCCCGCGGCCCCTCTCCGCCCAAGAGACTGTGCCTGCGGCCCCCGGAGCCCGACGCCGCGGCGGGGGTGGCCGTGAAGCGCGACCCCCTGCCGCTCCTCCCCGAGGCCGCCGGGCCCCGAGGCGCCGGCTCGCCCTCCGCGGCCCCGCCGCCCGCCGCGCCGCCCGCCCAGGTAACGGCCGCTCTGCCTGGCCTGCGGGCCCCGGGAGGGGGCTGGCCTGGCCTGCGGGGCGGGCGGGGACCCGGGTTCGGTTTCCTCCGGGTGCTTTTCAGGAAAGTTCACACCTGGCCCCGAGAGGGTGCGAGGGCCGCGCCCTGGTAACCCCAAGGCCACCCACCGCCGGCAGCCTTCCTGCAAAGTTCGCACAACACAGGGGTGAGCTCCCCGCAGCCTCTCCCTGGAAGGCAGGGGGTGGTACCACCCATGGCCTCTCCCTGGAAGGCAGGGGGTGCGCCCACAGCCTCTCCGGGGAAGGCAGGGGGTGCGGGGAGGAAGCAGCGACCTGGAAAGTGTGTGCAGAAAGTACCATTAGGAACTGGGTGTGTGGAGGCCGAGTATCCTAAGTCTATTGCACTGTTCACCAGAAGTTAGAGCACAGAAGTTAGAGCACCGGTTATAAATTAGGAGAAGGAAGGCATGCCAAGCCCACTTCCTGTGAGGGGGCGGGGCGGGCGCGGAGGGCCTGGCCGCAGAGTGCCAGGAGCACGTAGCTGAACAGAGTGCCGGGTGGGGGCAGTCACTGTGAAATCTACTGTCAGGTGGAGGGGAGGCCAGCCTGGGGCATCGGCCCTGTGGGCACCAGGCGCTGCTGTCTGCCCCAGCCCATGGGGCTCCGGATGGGGAGGGGGGCAGGTAAGGCTTGCAATTATAGGGGAGTAACACCCGGCAGAGGAGGCAGCAGAACCCCAAAGGAAAGGGCTGGGCCCAGAAGCTGAGCCCCTGGGACAAACGGGTTCCCTCTCTGGGCCTCATCGAAGATCAGGGCAGAGTTTTGTTTTGTTTTGTTTTGTTTTGTTTTGTTTTGTTTTGTTTTGTAAGGTGGAGGTTTATTGAAGAACAAGTTCAGACCCCCCCGTGGGGAGGGGGAGAGTCCCCGGGGCCGTGTTTTAACATTAAAAACACTTAATTCTCCGCAGCGCCACGTTCTCGGTGAGCCTGGGGCTCCCGTGGAGGGCGGCTGCTGTCCTGGGGTTTTCCCGGAGGAGCCTGTTCGCATTATTCAAGCGGCATTTAGAGACGCTTCTCTCCAAATCAGAACCGGGAGGGAGGAGGGCTCTGGGCCGCGCTCTGGCCCGGCTCTGCCACCGAGGCTCACCGGCACCCCCCTGCCGGAGCGAGGGCATCTGGGCCCTGTGTGCGCCCGTCCGCCCCTGCGCCGCGCGGGGCAGGCCCTCCAGGAACCTGTCAGGTACCTCTGTGCTTTCTCCAAAGTGGAAATTCCAGTTCTGGACACACTGACCCTTTCAAACATTTACCAGCGAATCAGCGAGCTCGAGGCCAGCCGAGAGCGAGGCTGTGGACGGGAATCTAACCGAGCGGCAGGCCTGTGTGTCTTCCTCTCTGCGCTCCCAGCGTGCGGGCGCATTCTGACCGCCCGAGGCGGGCTGGGGGCAGCGTGGGGAGCCGCTCTCCCTGCCCAGGGCCGTCCGGATATTTATAACCCGCTCACGGGCCGTACAGAGTTACCAGCTCAGGAACCGGCCTGCTATATTTGGTCAAACATTTAACAAACCCCCCCTCGGGCCTCGGCAGGGCGAGGCCCGAGGACTTCTCGGGCCTTATATGGCCCACGGGCCCGTGTTCCCTACCCCTGCTTGAAGGAGGAGAATTTTTTTTCTCTTTGGAGAATTTGGGTTTGCTTTTTCTTTGAAAGCAGGCATAAACGTTCACATTTCTTCTCCTGAAGTAAAAGCCCTTAAAATGTTAAAATGTCCCGGTTCAGAATAGCCCCTGGTTAAGAATGAGAAGCGCACGGGTGTTTATGGAAGTGTGCATCTGCTCGGAATAATGAAGGAACAGTCCGTCTCCACACATCTGTCTGCTGGCTTCTCGACACCAGTGTCCTCACAGAATCATGGCCTAAGACATGGCCCCCCGCACAGCCCTCCAGTGATGAGCTGGCTCTCTTTTGTTTTAAGGAGTGCAGTCTCTGTCACAGCCTTGTATTTTAACTGAGGGAAACACATCCTCTCTGTAAACCTGAAGACTAATCCTTTGCTTTTTCCTGGGCTGTCCGTTAACTCCCAAGTTCAGTATGCACGTGAGCGCCCATCTGTTGGTTACCTCGTTCCCTGGGCTCTCCACCTAAGTCCCCGGTGGTTAAAAGCAGGACAGAAAGTTGTTCTCTCTGCGCATAGCTAACAGCCAGCGTCTCGCTCACGGTAGAGTGAGTTTTTAGAAGTCGGCGGTGAGAGATGCTCGGGCAGCCTGCAGTGAGCACTGTGGAGCTCCCAGTCTTCCAAGCCTAGAACACATGTTCCCGTGAAAAGCTGCGATTACACTTTCCCTGCGTCTACTTGTTAAGTCACGGGAGCGGCTGAGGTCCCGGCATCGCCTGGGATGGATGCCTGGCACAGGGCACAGCTCCAGGCGGCCACCTCCTCAGCTGGCCGTGAGCCCCGGGGAATGCCAGGTGCCTGTCTGTCCAGTCCTCGGCACGTAATGACCAACACGGCTGCTAACCTCACTCCTGCCGGGACCCCCGTGCCGCGTCCCCGGAGTCCACGGTGCCCATGCTGCTCTGAGCTCCTCGCTGACACCGCCACACCCGTGCTTTTGTTCCCTTCCCGCACTGTGAGCCTCTCAAAGAGCGAGGAGCCTGCTCCTTGTCAGGGCCTGGGACCCTTGTTCCTGCCAAGGGCGGTGTGGATAGATCATTCGAGGGCCGTCCAGAATGCCATCCGCTTAAAACTGGCCTGACCGGTTTGGCCGGACATTTAGTGGGCTCCCCCTGATGTCGGCAGGGGGGGCCAGAGAGTGTGAGGGGCCTTAGGGGGCCCGAGGGCCGGACGCTCCCCACCCCTATATCTGAGTGCGTCGGCTCTTCTTCTCGAGGGCATGTTAGTGAGTGAGCGGCCTGTATGGGACTGGCTGAACAGTGAGTGTGCCTGAGGATTATTAGCAAAGATGACGGAGTTTGTGATTTTCACTCACGTGAAGTGTCTGGGTTTTGTTTTTCATTTTGGGGGTGGATGTGATGGTTGCTCTAACTCCGTGGTCGGCAAACTGCGGCTCGAGAGCCACATGCGGCTCTTTGGCCCCTTGAGGGTGGCTCCTCCACAAAACACCACGGCCTGGGCGAGTCTGTTGTGAAGCAGTGGCGTTAGAAGGAGTCTAAGTGTAAAAAATGTGGCTCTCCAAAGACATGCCCATCGCTGTCCCGCTGGCATTTGGCTCTGTTGGCGAATGGGTTTGCCGACAGCGGCCCTAACTGATTCACTCGTTAACTCTTCCTCCTGTGCCACGCCGCGGGCAGGCCTAGTTCCCTTCCCCCCTCGGGCGCTGTCACCTGAGCTGGCCCATTGGGGGCAGCTGCGCAGCTCCCGGTGGCGGCCACGTGGTCCGGCTCGCACGGTGCCTTCCCAGGGTGCAGTGGCCTGTTCTGCGCCCTCCCGGCTGGTCCCCGCGTCCCACGGCGCTGTGCCTGCCCGGGTTCCCACGGCCGTCTGGACCACGCCACGCGCACAGACGCGGAACGCTCCTCGGAGCTCCGGTTTTAAATACCGCCGTGCTGTCGCCGAGTGTGGGCGTGGGCTCCCGGGATGCGCGTGGAGGCGTTGCCCAGCTTGTGACCCGCCGCTCGTCAGTCGCACTCACTTGACCCTACCCCAGATTATTGCCAGAAATGCTTCTGAGGCCTTCCGATCGGGGAGTCTGTTGGTGGAAAGATCCCGGAGTCGGCGGGGCACGCTGCTGCTCCTGTTTCAGTGTCCTCCCAGGGGCCGGAGCTGGAAACGGGCGGCCTCCCGTGGGGTGGGGTGGGCATCCCTCCTGACCGCCCCCTGGAGGCCAGTCTCACTCGGTCCCGGTGCTGCGGGCTGGGAGGGAAAAGGAGCACTCCATCCTTTCATGGATAGTTTTGTTTTGCATTTGAAGAGTAGGCAGGGGCGTGGGGTATCATCTTTCCACTTAAAGATGATACGGCTGGGCTGGTGTGGCTCAGTGGTTGAGCAACAACCTGCCAATGGGGAGGTCACGGTTTGATTCCCGGTACCTGGGTTTCAGACTCGATCCCCAATAGGGGGTGTGCAGGAGGGCCAATCAGTGATTCTCTCTCATCATTGATGTTTCTCTCTCCCTTCCGCTCTGAAATCAATAAAAATGTATTTTAAACACACATATGTGTGTGTATATACTTTTTAAAAAGATGGATATAGACTTTTATAAATGTGAAGGAGTAGTGTGTTTAACTAAGCTGGTGTAAGAACTTTTTTTACAATGATTATCTGGAGCTTATTAAGATAACTGCTCTGTTTAAAATGGATATTTTCCTGATTTTTTTATCGATGAAAATACATTTTTATTGATCTTTTTAGAGAGAGAAAGGGAGAGGGACAACAAGAGAAACACATCACTGATCAGGAGGGGGCAGCGCCCCAGGGATCAAGCCTGCAACCCAGGCACCTGCCCTGCCCGGGAATCGAACCAGCGACCTCTTGGTTCCCAGGTCAACACTCAACCACGGAGCCACACCAGCCAGCCCTGATTTTTGAACTGTTAGTTTGTGGCTGCACTTCTTTTTCTGCTGCGGGAGATGTTTGCTCTGCTTTAGGAAAGTTCACATCGGTGGAGAAACTGAATTCATTAACATTAAGGACGTAACTTCTTTCCTACTAGCCTGGCTCTCATACCGGGGATCCCCGTAAATTCTCTGTTCCCCACTGGGCAAGTGGTTTCATTGGCAAGGTTTTGGCCTCATTAAATATCAAAACTAGATAAAAATAAAGAAAGTTAAAAGGTAATGCTTTACGGCGGACATTTCCGGGGACATCTGTACCTTCACTCGTGCACATTGCGGTCTGTACTCAGGTGTGTTATTTTAAATGGATATGAACCCACATCTGGGTCAGCTCACTACCGGTTCAGTCCCATCCAAGAAATAAGAGAAGTATTTGCTGCTGAGGAGAACGGAAATGCGTTTACCTGAACCCTGAGTCCTATGTCGCCCTTCC